TATCTGCCTTGGATTTAACTGCCGTGGTCCTTATAGTATACTTTAGGTCTTTAATAAATCCTTACCACTCCCCATCATCCTTTATCATTGAATTTAATGGTCTTCTGACAACAATATAGCGTGGGAAATATTTTGTGCTTTTCAAATCTTCGCTGCTAAAAACCTATTCCCTCTCAACAATCATGTTTGCTTTTACTCTGTATGATTCAGCTATTAATTTTTACATCACTCTTTCATAGGATTCTGAAATAACTGCTATTATAAAGTTCATGAAAACTATATTCAAAGTTATTACTGCTAATACCCAGATTAACCAAGAAAGTACTACTAACCCATTTCCTAAACTATGGAAATCTTCAACCTAAAAATCCCCAGATGAAATTCTGAAGGCCATCAGAAAATATGCTAATTTATTCATGCCATTATATTCATCAATTTCCTAAGCTTTAAAAATGACTAAGAAGAGTATCCCAAACAGAATAATGAAAATCAAAAAGAAAAACAAGAAGTATTTTAGATCTCTGAATACACTAGACAGCATTTAAACTAAGAAGCTGAAGCCATCATAAATTCTCAAGAAAAATAATAGTTTCATAAAAGACAATAAAATTACCAGAATTTTTATAAAGATTAAGTATTCTTCGTTTTCACTTGTGAAGTCCAAAATACAGTACAATACAAATGTTATAATAAGAGGAAAATCAAAATAATTCCACCCATAATTAAAATATTCTTTTCTTTAAGCTCTGATTTATTTTATTTCATCTACTAAGAAGTATGAAAGAACAGCAAGGCATAATATTTTTGTCAAAATTTTAAGCCATATATTTGGTTGGGAAATTTAAGTATCTTAATCTTCTTCCTTTGAATTTGATAAATATTAATCGTTTTATTTAGCAGAAGTATAATTTTAATAGAAAATATCTAAAAGGAAAGATGCCATAAATATCAAGTAAATTTAGAATCTGATTTAATAAAATGATTTTGTATAGGTTTTCCACTTATACTTTATAATACTTTAAATTATCTTATTTTCAAAATAATCAGATCTCTCTGACTAACTAAGCACCTTCATTAGCTCTTTTGGCAAAAATTTCAATGTGATTGGTAAGTTTATCAAATAATATTCAATTGATACCAGATAATTATTCTTCTTATTTTCAGTTTATAATTAGTTTACAAATAATTCATTGTACTTTTCATGAACATCTTTAGGAT